AAAGTATTTAAAAATTGTTGTATCTCACCTTGGCGCCATTAAGCCCTATTGTAAGAGATTACTAACATTTTTATTACAGGTTGAGTCTCATGTTCTAATCTATCTATCTATCTATCTATCTATCTATTTTTTTTTTATTGAGATTGTCCCATCCAATGTGGTGTGCTACTTCTGGTACATCAGTGGTGTAAAGTCATGAGACTGTGCTCCAGAAATTCTAAAATTTTAAATAGGTTGAGACAGTTGGAGTTAAATTTTTAACAGAATGGTGATTTGGGGGTCCAGAGGCATCTCTGAAGTTTGTAGATATCTTCTGGGCCTTATTCTTGAGTCTCTAGATAATGGCCACTAGTGAGCTTAACTGATGCCAGAGGCAGTTCATGGGTGTGTGTGTAATCACACAAAAAGGACAGGCAAAACTCAATGCCTCTTTTGCAGACCACAACACCCAAAAGGAGAAAGAGAACACAGGGGATTGCCCTGCCACAGAGACAGGGGGGATGGGGGGATGGGGGTGGGAGGGATATTATCCATGGTGGTGGAAAATGGGCACTGGTGGAGGGATGGGTATCTGATCGTTGTATAATTGAAACCAAAGCACAAAAAATTGTAAATCTACAACTTTAAAAAAAATAAAATAAAATAAAGGGAAAAAAAAAGAAAAAAAAAGAAAAAAAAAGAAAGATTTGTTGCAATAAATAAAGAAATATATCAATCTCTTTAAAAAAAAAAAAAAAAAGGACAGGCAAAGGGGCGGCAGCGGCCTATCTCTCCCACTGCCCGCGTTAAGTAGTTTCAGGCTGTTTGCCCACTCCAGGGAGGTCGATGGTCAGGCGAAGGAAGGAAACGAGGGCCAGGCTGGTTGGTCTTAGTAGCAGTTTATTACATGGAAGAAATATACGTCATGGAGGCCCCAGGATCTCTCTAGCACGTGCTCCGCTGTTCTCTCAGCTTCTGTTGCCATTCTCTGAGACCTGTCTCTTCAATTCTCTCAGCTCATCACCCCAGGTTCTCTAAAGTACGTGTTCCAGATTCCCTCAGCCTGTGTTCCCCATTCTCTCAGGCACGTGTTCCCCCAGAGAGCCCTGAAATCTCCCTTATATAGATCATGGTACCTCTAAAGGGTGCAATACAGTGATGTCATCAAAAGGAGTTACAGAAAGAACATTGAGGTAGCAAAATACACATTGTTTCTTTACATCTGCAGGCCAATAATTTTAGCCTCTGGAAAGAAGATACAAAGCCAAGACTGATGAAACCTTTCACAAGCACTTTCACAAGCTACAAGCACTTGGATTTGCATCCCAAAGACTAGAGCTTGGACTCTACATCCCAAAGACAAGTATCTGAGCTTTGCATCCCAAAGACTAGCCTGCCTAGAGCCTGGAATCTACATCCCAAAGATCAGGCCTGGCTAGCACCTGAGATTACTGAGAGAAAAGGGAAACTGCCTCTTGCAATATACTGAAATTATTTACTGAAGGCAGTTTGAAGGGGAGAAATGTTCAGTCTCATCCAAGCTAGTCAGGACACGCGGGAACGCTGCTTCCAGGACAGATTCTCATTTAGCAGATCAACCCACCCTAGAACAGAATTCCCTGGGTGTGTTTCTCCTCTCCTTGTCCGACCAACATATAAGCACAGTAAGAAACACTTTAAGCTTATAGAATTGCTCTCCTAGGGCCCTCTCAATCTCAGACTGCAGTGTTCAGGCCAGATATCTTTCCTATTCCTAGCAGGGTCCTAGACTGGTTGTTACTTTTGGATCATGACAGCATTTGTCTATGATCAAGCTCTTAACCTACAGTTAAGAATCGTGGCACCTTGGCCTGGCCCATCTCGATGCCAGAGTAGCACATAACTTACCGGCTTGACCTGGTTCCATCCAGTCCCATGTTGGGACCCTGCCTTTGGGGGCTCTAGGAAGTGAGGGCAACTGAGACTTAAGTTGAGAAAGCAAATGCCCAGGAGTGTATAATATTCAAATCCAATTAACTCCTAAGTTATAAAGCATAATATTAATTGTCTTCCTGTATCTATACAAAAAGAACATCGCATTAAAGTAAACTATTCAAAAGACAAAAGGAGAGGAGAAAGGCAATATTAACTTACAGTACAAGTTCAGTGTCCTAGAAGGATGAGACCTTACAAATAAACAGATTCTAATTAGGGGAAAAGCTGATAAACTGGTTGAAGAAGAGAGCATAGAAGTGGTTACAAACAAACAAAGGGATGGGAGTGACTCAGGAGCACTGTGATGGGTGTAAGTGTAACCTGATAAACCTAGGCTCCTTGTACTCCAACAGATGTGACTGCCAGGCTCCTAGAGAACAGGGAGATGAGAGGAGGTTGCCAATTCCTGACTCTGTAAGAGACTGGGGATTTTGGTTACAAAACTCACATACTGGATTTTTTTCAACAGATTCACTCATTGGCCTTCACAAGATTTAAAGAATTATGATCAGTGAGAAGGAACTTCTATGGTTCACTGCACACTTTTAATTTATGTTCATTTGGGATTCCTAAGCAAGATACAGGAAGCCTAGGGGAAATTTCTGGCTATATTGACTTGAGGATTCAATGCTTGGGCAGATACAGTATTGAACAGGTTCACCCTAGTGCTTGGAAGAAGCTGTGGCACTAGGGATCAAACACAGGTCTTATACCTGACAATTACACTCCCCAGACCTGTGACTGTCTTCTCTGTTTGTTCAGCAGTTATTTTCTGAGGGGTGGAATGGGGTGGATGGCAGGGAATTGAATAACACACAGAAATGCTCAGGAGTGATTCCTGTCTTTGTGCTCAGGAGTGACCTCTGACTGTGCATAGGGGATCATATATGTGCCCGGCTCAAATCGGGTTTGGTGGAATGCAAGATAAGCACCTTAACATCTGTGTTACATCTCTGACCCCTGTTCAACAATTACTAACACTTGAAACATACGAGTGTACTGCTGTCTATGTTCTACACCACAGAAGTTCTGGCTTAATTAGTGGAATGAGAACATAATTATAATGTGTAGTTTGATTTACATTTTTGTTATTTTGGAGTGTTCAGGAGCTAATTATGGCTTGGTACTTGGGGGTCACTCCAAATGATTCATGGGGGACCATATGGTGCCTTGGATCAAACAAATCCCACCTGAATAGCATGATCTCTAGTCCTTTGAGCTTTTTCTCTGACCCTGTACTTTTGCTTTGTTTTGAACTGCCCAAGTTATTATTAGGTACAGTCAAAAATAGATACTCTGAAAATGAACTAAACGTTCCTTTTGAGATAATAGTACATACAAAATCTGCCTGTTGTATACATTAATAATATCTATTTTTCCCTTTCTAAGCCAATGATATATGGGAAGCTTAAGGGGACAAGGGCAACTCTAATTTATATATGCATTAACTATTTCTGAGTACAGAGCAGGTTTAACTGAGGAGCTCTAACTTCTCTAATATTTATAAGTTTGTTCAAATACCTTTTAAAATATTGGCAGAAACAGAGTTAATTCATTAATGATAGTCTAACCTTAGTCTTTTTATTGTTCCAAGACAGATTTGAAGAGGCATGTTAGATGAATAAGGAAGTCCCCAGATGAAAAAGAGAATAATGAGAATTAAACGAGTTGGGTTAGAGTTAAGTTGTATATACTTACATGACTATCTATCTATCTATCTATCTCACACACACAGACAAACACATACATGATATGGGCAAAGTTTAAATTGCAGTTTTGATTTCCACGTACTCTTTTATTTAGTATTCTTTCATTAACTTTTTTACTTTTTTTGCTTAAGAAATGCTTTATCTGATGTTTTGTTGATCTAAAAATGGCCAGCCTGCAGTGCGAAGTCAACTAGAGGCAGGACCTCTGAGTGACACATTCTAGAAATGGGTAGAGATACATGTCAAATCATAAAGCTGATCAGAACAGAAGAGAGAGAGACAGACCCAGTTGTCACAGTGAGCAGGAGTTGGATGGAACCACAGAAACAATTAGTCATTCAAACATAATGTACTAACCACAAAGGTTGCTAGTAACTCAGCTCCCTCTAAGTGCCATGATGTTCCTCTCCCATCTTGATGTGTTTGTTGCTGCACAACAGATCTGTAAATTCCATTCTCTGCCTGTTTTCCTCTTGTTCCACACCTCTGTTGTGTTGCTAGAAATGTATGTATTTAAAGTGTTCTGTACCCCTGTTTTCTAACCATGGTTTCAGGTGATTACCTGAAAATTGATTAAATCTTCTTAGCAAACTCTGTTACCCCCCACTCTCCGCACCCATCCTCCCACACACACAGAGCAGAAGACGAGACCAATCTTAGTTCATTTATTTTATTTTAAAGTCTAGTGAGGAGTTATTTCTACTAGACTACTTGGTACTTTGATGCTGACCAGTTATTCCTTTGAGAATCCCCAAATCCCATGGTACTAAACATGACGGAAGGGTGAAAGAAAATTGGAACTGAGGATCTTATGCGTGATAATCTGTTTATCTCTGGTGAAATTAAATAACAAAATTTTGACAAGACTAGTTGTACTTTCCCATTATTTGGATCTCCTGCAAGACAATTTGCATTTTATTCTTCCTGTAATTTTCCTAAGGAAAGAAACAAACTTCCAAGATTATTATAACTTTGGCAACCAGCTTAGAATGTTGGCAGTTGGTCAGAGAGAAGAGGCTATGCCATCGATATCTGCTTTAGCCCATTGTTGTTACCCCAGTTAACTGAAATGAAAAATAAAGCACTACAAGTATTTTCTTTTCATGGCAGCAACCTACTTTGCACTTCTTACATAAGCAAGAAAATCCCTACAGCTTGCATTGGGTGTGAGCGTGACATACCCTGCAGTCTTGTTTAAATTTCAAGCGGATGAGAGTTGCATTGCTAGGAAAGCAGATTATTTACTTCTGTCGTTCATTTCAGCTGCAGTTGTAGTTTGATTACGAGTAAAGCACAAGATCTACAGGGATAGAAGCAGTTTTGATGTACAGAAAAGTCTCAGAGGGGTTCCATCTCATGACAAGGCAGGTCACCTCCAATAGACTCTTGAATGCAGGTGTACTTGATGGGAGGTGGAGGCGGCTTGAATGGTGGTGGTCTTTCCAGGCTAGGAACAAAACATAGCTCTTTCAATGCTAAAAAACTGAGGCAGTTTTTGAAGAATTTTCTGTTTTTGGTCACACCTGGCTGATCTCAGGGATTCCTCCTGGCTCTAGACTCAGGGGTCACTCCTGGCAAGGTTTGGGAGACCTTATTGGTGCCTACGAATTGAACCTGAGTGGGTTACATGCAAGGCATGCTCATTACCTACTGAACTATATCTCTGGCCCTGAACAAATTTTTTAAAGCAGAAATATTTAGTTTGTTTTAAAATGTAGGGGCTGGAGCGATAGCACAGCGGTAGGGCGTTCGCCTTACAAGCGGCCAACATGGCCGACCCAAGTTCGATTCCTCCGCCCCTCTCGGAGAGCCCGGCAAGCTATCGAGAGTATTCGATATGCCAAACACAGTAACAACAAAGTCTCCAATGGAGATGTTACTGGGCCCGCTCAAGCAAATCGATGATCAACGGGAGGGCCTTTACCTTTACCTTTTTTAAAATGTAGGATACAAAAGAGGAGACATGCCACAGTGATTTTCTCAAAATTTCTTCAAGCATAACCTTCTTCTTATTAGCTCTATTAGCCATTTGACCCAACAATAATAAAATTAATTAATTTTAGCATGGTATTCCAGACCATAGTTTGCAAATTAATCATAACATTATTTAATTTGTAGCTTAATGAAATATTATTGTCACAGTTCTCCAGATAAAACTGAGTCTCTGAGGCTTTAATTTTGCTTACTCAGGAGAACTAGACTCAAGTCTTTTAACCAGAACCTATATTCTCCATAGCAACTGTCTCTTAATGAAAGAAGTGTATCACTTATGAGAGTGAAAATTTTCCTCCAGAGAGAAAATCATCAAATTCTGGGACTGAAGATTGATGCTGTTAAAATAGTCCATTTGCCAGCTTACCTCTTGCCTTCACACACTCATTGTATACTGAGGACAAGTTGGTAGAGGCAGGAACTGAAGCTCTTCTGAGTGCCAGAGTTGGCTGGTTATAGACAGATAATACCACAATCTCTATATTTGAATCAGATGGCTTTCTAAACTTATCACTGCATAAACTTTTTGTAGCACACTTATCTCTCTATCTGAGAGGCTTTGAGTTTATAGATGAGTGTGGGATTTAGCTATACAAATTCTTCAGCTCTCTTGATATCAGGAAATAGAAATGTAATATACTTACAATCTGCAAGTATATTTATGTCCATGGACCAGAGACCTCCAATCCTGTCTATCAATCATAAGCACCTTAAGATTTACATATAACAAAATGAATACTGTTTATAGTCTTTCTATAGAACAGATATTTGAAGAGAAAACAATAACGATTAATTCAGATTTTCAGATCCCATTATTATTTTGATATAAAAATCCCTAAAGACTGTTACCTGATTTTCTTAAACTTCAATGGTTTTTAATGTATGTTAGGGAGATAGCTTCACTGGCTGGGGTTCATGCTTTACATGCATAGCAACCAGGTTTGACCCAGAGCACTATGAAAGTAAGCTAAAAGCACTGAACTGGGAATGGCCCCAATCACTGTCTGATGTGGTCCCCTGGCATGAAAATTCTAAGCAATTTCCAATTTCGACTTTTTCCCTCAGAAATGTTTATTAAGGCCATATGGTGACCAAAGTGCAGTCCTTAAATAAGAATCTGAGAATTTCTGACTACCACTTTAATATACTTTATTCATCAAGGAACTCTCTCTGGACATGGTGAGAGATTCTTCAATGATGCTTTAAGTAGTGCTAAACGTTACCAGAGAGAGTAGATGGAAGACCTGGGGGAGACCTGGGAAGCTCAGCTCTATGTATTCTGGCTGTCTCTTCTATTAATGTATTATGTATGTCATTTCAGACTACGGAATTGAGGGAGAAAAATTTTAGAAAATATGTCAGTAAGAATGAAAAAAAAAGGGGGATTTGGTTAAGAACCCGCTTACCTAATTTTCCCTGTAGGGAGAAAGGAAAGGGCAGTAAAAACCCATATTGTTGAAAAAGAGCTGGAAATTTCTTAAAAATACCTTTCTCACTCAATTTCACACTTGAACTTCTAGGCCCAGTTGGGCTCAGGCAGCTCAGAGATGCATGAAAATGAAAAAAATAATGAAGATTAAAAGAAAAATCAGTTTTAGTTTTGAGGCGAGGCAAGCATTGGCTCTCATTTCATGCCCACTGACTGGGTCCATCTGGTGAGTGCTGGGCAGATCACTGTGATGCATTTATTGTGGGTGGACACTGAGTCAGAAGTGGTGCATCAAATGCCGACTCTGCAGTGCCAAGAAAGCTGGTGACTTCTCTGAGCTTCTCTGCACCTTACCCCGGTCAGTAAGAGAGGAACTACATGTCAGAATCATATTTTAATTGTTGAATAAATATTTTACGTTGGGAAAAAACCCATTCCTGACAGACCAGTATTCTACTCACATTTCTTTTTGGTACTGACACCATTTTCTCACTCCAAGACCAAAGACCACCATGCAGAAAAAGAGTAGAGCTGCTACAATCACTGGCCAGGACATTCCATCTCTGGGCTTTTTAACGATACCTGAAGAGGTTATAAAAATAAATTAGTTTTAATGATAACATGTGGCAATTGGGAGACAGAGGAATTAAGCATTTTTTTTTAAATCCTAAAATTTGTTTTCTCCGAAGTCCTTGGGGGGTATCATTGACTACAGTCACACACAGGGAATATGTCTATTGCTTGTTTTCACTGATTTTTCTTTTTACATGAGTACTTTTCTTCCTAAAATATCTCAGAAATATGGGTTGGAAATTAGGCTGGAGTTATAGTATAGCCACTAGGGCATTTGCCTTGCACACAGCAGACGGGTGTTTGATCTCTGGCATCCTATATGGTCCTCCCAGCACAGTCAGAAGTCAGTTCTGAGTGCAAAGCCAGGAGTAACTCCTGTAAGGAGCATGCTTTGCATCTTGCCGACCCTAGTTCCATCCATGGCACAGCACCACACGGTCCTTTGAGCACTGCTGGTGTAGCCCTGGAGGCCCGCAAGTGCAGTTGGGTGTGACCCTGGAAATACCCCCAGGACCACTAGGCTGTTCCAGGTAATCCTTAGCACCACAGATGCAAGTAGCCTGTCATCCTCAGGCCGTGTGGAACTCTCAGCCTGGTTAACAGACAATAGCAGGATGGGGGCACCCCGGCTTTCTGAGTCTGCTTTGGATGTCCCTCCCCACAAAGTTCCAGAGCTAAAGTAAATCTGACTAAAGATTTATTCTTTTTTTCATTTTTCGAAGGCCATGGGCAACTCTGGGCACATGACACACACTGAAGTGTTATTTGTAAGAATGACTAAATAAAAATGATAAATTGCAATTTCTATTCCAAGTTACTCTAGTAATGAAAACTCCTTATGGGAAATAATAGTCTAGCTTGGATTTTTTCCCTTCCTTCCTTCCTTCCTTCCTTCCTTCCTTCCTTCCTTCCTTCCTTCCTTCCTTCCTTCTTTCCTTCCTTCCTTCCTTCCTCTCTCCCTCCCTCTCTCTCTCCCTTCCTTCCTCTCTCCCTCCCTTCCTTCCTCTCTCCCTTTGTCTCTCCGTCCCTCCCTCTCTTCCTCCCTTCCTTCCTTACTTCCTTCTATGTTCTATGCTTTCAGGAGGAGAAAGATAGAATGAAAAACTTAACATTCTAAAGTCCCCGAAGGTCCCAAGTCAAGGAAACTTCATTTGTTTCCTTGGCTGCCAAAATGTTGTGCCCCAAAGACTTCAAAGAGAGCTCATTTTAAAGTTATTCAAGGAATTATATCCAGCATAGAGGTTTTGTAATCCTTTTTTATTTTCTTCTCTCTTTTTCTTTCTCTTCCTATATCTTTTATTTGAACTGATTAGTCAGTCAACTATTTTGTTCTCCCTAGTGATGCTCAGGAGGTTTGGGGACCCCAATCCATGATTTTTGGTCAACTTGCTGGTGGATCAATGAAGACATGAGGATGCAGTTCTACTTGGGGACTGTGGTGCCTGGAACTATTCTGACAACTATTCTGGGTGAGCTTTGGGGGCCGCCAAGGTTGAACTCTGTGATGTTTGGGGGACTTTGTTGTGCCAGAGATTGAACTGGGGTCAGCAGTATGTTGGTCATATTTCTCAACTTGTGGACTGTCTCCCCAGTCCTCCTATATATTTTGGCAGTAAGAAAGGGGAAGAAGACCACAACCAGATGATTTTTCTCTTTCTATGGTCTTAAAAAGGGGTAAATGTTGAAAAAAAGTGGCTGATTAAAATAAACGGTTAAAATTATAACATGGGTGACTAATGGATTTATTTTTCTTATCTTTTATACCTATATCCAAACTCAACTTATTCATTTCAAATTCAATATTTGAGCACCAAGGCAAAACTGCAAGAATAAAAACGTTACATGGCAATATAGAGGTCAGATGCTAGACTAACCTCTTTTTTTCTAGCACAATGGAAGAAATAAGAATGTCTACTGTTTAGAAATATTGTCTATTCTACACGGCAAAGAATAAAAGTGGATGGTTATAATCACATGGTATAGCTAGTAATAAATATATTTTTAATACTTAAAAATTAAAAATATTTTTGATTCTGGAGTTCTAGCAGACTCAGGGACTACTCCAAGCTCACTGCTTATGGGACCTGGCTGTGCCATAGATGAAATTCAGGACTCTGACATGCAAATCATGTGATCAGCTCTTGGAGATATCACCCTGGTCAATTTATTTAAAAACAAACAAAAAAACAAAAACAAAGCTATTTTACCTTCCTGTTAAAAAATACAAACAGTACAGAAAATATAAAACTATAAAAAAAATAGTGTCTATTGTTGCAGATGTCAGTTACCCACATTAAAGACGGTCACGGTCCTCCCGTTGTTCTGTCACTGTCCTCCCATTGTTCATCGATTTGCTTGAGCGGGCCCAGTAACGTCTCCATTGGAGACTTTTTTGTTACTGTGTTTGGCATACGAATACATCACGGGTAGCTTGCTGCTCTGCTGTGCGGGCGAGATACTCTCGGTAGCTTGCCGGGCTCTCCGAGAGGGGTGGAGGAATCGAACTTGGGTCGGCCATGTTGGCTGCATGTAAGGCAAACGCCCTACCGCTGTGCTATTGCTCCAGCCACATTAAAGACAATTGTTTCTAATAGTTAACTTTGCACTTAACTACACATTATCTATAAATTATAAGCAGGAAATGAGATGTATCTCATTCTATTCAGTGACTCAATAGATCTCCAATGTCCGGTTCTCCTAGATTATATCTCATTTATCCCTTAATATTTGGTAATTTGATTAATAATTTTTAGATTTTTTATTATCCTAACAGCACTCCAATTAAATTCCTTATGATTATAAATAGGCAGATTGCAAAGATCATTTGGTCAAGAAGAATAATTGTGTCTCAGAATTTTCTGGATTGACTTTCTTGGGTTCAAGTGCATTGTGAATTATTTGTAGTTGGAAATCACTGAAAGCTTTTCTTCTTTTTTTTATTGTCTCGGATTTATTACACAGCTTCCACTATAGTCTCAACATTTTTCTACAACAAAGTCTAAAGAAAATACTGGTCAGAGGCTGGATTTTAAATATTAGTTACCAAGTCTTTTCCATGTTTTACATAGTTTGGTCCACAGCTGTGTGATTTTGTGATGTTATCACTGATAATTAGTTGATAATTAGTGCTGATTATTTTTCCCTTTTATAACACATATTTAAGGATTACTGTGTTTTTATACCGTGTTTTATACATTTTAAAGTAAGTTAATTTTTTTATTGTATATTCTACTTGGGGAAATTTATTAGCTAATATTTAAATTCCCAGTACTAATGTACGTAAAATTATAAGAAAAATAGGGTATATATTGAAATGTTATATAATGTTAATGAAAACATTTTTTATTTTTCATTAATTTTATTTCTATAAAATTGTTCATGATTTATTACAATAAATATTCCAACATCAATCCCACAACCAGTGTACCTTCCCACCACCATTATTTCCAATCTTCAACCACCCTTCAAGTCTGCCCCTATAGCAGACCCTGAATAATTTATTTTATATTGCTTGTTATAATTTGCTAAAAATTATTGAGAAATATTTCCTTAGAAGGAGGTGTATGAATATTGTTGTATTTAACCATGGAACCATTCTACAAGAAGAGATTAATGTGTTGTTACTGATTAAGGCTTGTATGTTCATTTTTTTTAATTGAGATTGGTAGCCTTTGACTTAACATCCCATCCAATGTGGTGTGCTACTCCTGGTTTATCAGTTGTGTAGAGTTTGAGATGTCATGTAGTCAAGAATGTGTTTGTGTGCTGCAGGAATTCAAAATTTTTGAATGAGGTAATACAGTTGTGTTGCATATTTAACCCTAAGTGCTTTAGGCTTTATCAGCCAATTCTCCCCCTTTCCTCCCCGCAGAGAAGCTTACAGTACTCTTATGAGCACCCCTAATCCACCGAGTTCATCTTTAACCTTTCCATTGTGTTATTTGCTAAGTCAAACCCGATGACTCCGGACTTTGTATTTGTAGTGAATTATTTGCTTTCCTATTTCCCTCATAGCCTTTTCATATTTTACTATAGAGCAATGTTCTTTTCTTAAACACAGAAAGACTATTAATACTGTGTTCCTCATAGTTGGATGTTGATTAACTCTACCTCAATCCTGCCAAAGCAGATACGAGGTTAGCCTTGAAGTTACATAGTCCTATGATAAAAACACATGATATTCTGCATGTACAGGTAACTATAGTCATACAATACAAATTCAAATTACTAGAATATTATGATCACCGCAGAAATTAATACATAATATAAACTAAGGACTGAATAAAGTTTGCTTAGTCAAGTAAAAATATTTACTCGGTTTTACATGGATTATTTGGTAGAATATGGCATTTTCTTTAAAAACTTTAGAGAAATTTGAGTAATAGATTTAAAATAGATCTTACATCAGTGCTTACAAAATTTCACCCAATTCAGCATAAATAATGAGACCACTGTCTTCAGTGTCTTAGGGGAAGTATCTGGATTCTAACCCTTCTATAAACCAGGTGGTTCTTTAAGGCCCCAAAGTCTTCAGTCTATTGGCTTTATCTCAGTTTTAGGCTCAACAGCCAAGTTTTGTGCGTGACAATGCTTCAATGATCTGAAATTGTAGAATCTTAGACAAAAAATAAACTGAGAGTGATCAGTCAAACTAACACTTCCTGAAGTGAGACAGTTGATTATGCTTCTGAATTTACAACTGTTACTGTTTTTGAAGGTCCTAAACTGATTGAATCTTTTGGCTCCTTATGATTTAAAGGAAGGATTGCATTTCTCATTGACAGCATTTTATTAGTTGAGCTGTAGAAGAAATGTTTAGACAATTTCTTTCTTGAAGCCAACTATGTTTTTACAATTGAGTTATTTTTCATTACTTTTCAGCCAGTTAATTCTTATTCATCTTTCAAATTTGATGGTGGGTGTGGTGATGGACATAGAAGTGTAACTAATATTACTGAAATTATGCACTATTGTCCATTAAAATAAATGAAAAGGGGAACATTTAAAAAAATGAAAAATAAATAAAATTAAAGAAAAATATCAGAACCTTTCCCCTGTCTCTCAACTAAACTCATATATTTTTGTTACAGTTGGATACTAAGTTTCATAGTATAGCGTTCACCACAACTAAATTCAGTTGCTTAATTATTTGCTATGATAGTTTTCAGCAGACCAGTGATTTTATTGTGTATGTAATATCTGGCATAGTATCTGACAAATGGTAGGTACACAGTAAGTATTTGTTAAGTTAACAAAGCATAGAAACCTTAAAATACAGTACACTGACTCACCGTTGATTTGGATGTGATTATTTTTAGTAGATATATTGGCAGTTGTTGAAATTTCTGAAAATGCTTCAGTAGTACTGGCAAAGACATCACCTAGGAATAGAAAGGGGTATCTGAGCTGATGTTATCGGCCATTTCATCATGATTAAGTACTATAGAATTAAGATTGAAGTTCACTTGCTATTAGTAAAGATTCCAATCAAAATGGCTAAACAATCTTAAAATAATCTGTGCAAAATTTGTTTCTGGGTCACAGCAGGCGTTACTCAGGGTTTATTCCTGGCTCTGTGCTCAGATAATACCGATGCATTGATCAGGGGACTACACAAGGCTCCATGATTTGAAATGGGGTTGGTCACATGCAAGACCAAGAGCTTTGATCTCTGCACTGTCTTTTCAGCACTGGGTACTAAGTTTACTAAGAGTGGTTGATAAGAAGGTTAAGAACCTTGTATCTGTTTAGAAACAACTATGAAGTGAAAGTTTGAAGGAAATAAAGAAAAACCTTGCAGCAAGCATAACAAAATTGTATATGCTAAAGAATATCCAGGTGAAAATTAAGTAGTTATGAAAAAATATTAAACTACAGCCCTATTCCTATTTTACTAAGCTCTGGGAGATACAGTTGATCAATACTATTTTTTTCTACATTGCTTCATATAGTCAATAAAAACTAGTTTTCTACATTAAGGCAGACAAATCAATATTGTTTAATTATTTCATTTTCCCATGAAAACTAAAGACTGAACCATATATTTTGTGGATTTAATTGGGCCAATTAAATCCACAAAATATATGGTTTTTCTTATTTTCAAGAAAAATCGAGAAAAATAAAAGACTCAGTTCCCCCTAATTTCTTTGAACGACCAGGAAGTATTTTTTGTTCTATTTCTTATCCTTATCATCAAAACTCATTTTAAATTACATGTCTGGAATAGGCTTCTGAACAGTTTTTATTTTTTTCACTTTTTTTAATAAAGATAACCACTATCTTCCCTAACACAAATTCTCTTTCAAGTACTCACCATGATGTGTTGAAGTTGCATTGGGGGAGGATGAGCTATATGTTTCACTAGGCATCCATGAAACTGCTAAAACAGGAAGATACTACAAGTCAATATTTATAAACCTAGTTATTATTTATTATTTTATTATCATTTATTGATATTTAATTTAGTATGGTGATAGCACAGTGGTAGGGCGTTTGCCTTGCGCACAGTCAGCCCGGCCGAGCCGGGTTCGATTCCTCCACCCCTCTCGGAGAGCCTGGCAAGCTACCGAGAGAATTCAATATGCCAAACACAGTAACAAGAAGTCTCACAATGGAGACGTTACTGGGCCCGCTTGAGCAAATCGATGAACAACGGGAGGACAGACAGACATGGAAAATTATATTAGTATTTATTTTTTTTGGTTAGCAGTGCTTGGGGCTTGCTCCTAACTCTGTACTCAGGAACCACTCCTGTTGGAACTGAAGGGACCAGATCGTGTGCCAGGGATTGAACCTGGGCAAGTCACATGCAAGGCAGGCACCTTACCTGTTGCAGTCTATCTGGCCCCTTGAAGTTATATTTAATGCAAGGTCACAGAATCATTCTGCAACATACATTATAATGCTCGCAAATATTCCTTGAATGGATGAGTTGAAGGAAAGTTTATAGTACGAGTCTCCAGTAGAGAAGGCTTTGATAATTAAGATGCAATAGAAAAATTATGAGAGGTTCCTCTAGCCAGTAGATTCTGACTGTACTAATGTCCACTTCCAAGTCTGTTAAAAAAATTGGTGACATTAACAACGCAGGTGTGCTCTGGTGCCTTTATTGAAAAAAGTGTCAAAAATACTTTTGGCTGAAGATGCATGAGAGAGAAAATTAATTTGTACATGTGTGTTAAAAACTGTGAAAACAAAACTGAATGTCAGCTATGGAACGGTAAGTTATTAGATCCTTATATTCGCACTCTTGTTAGGTGCTGGAGGAGTTCTGTTGCATTCAGAGACAAACTTTCCTCAAGTGAATGCTGTAAACTTGATAAAAACATGTATTTTTTAAAAAATAGATCTATCAATTAATTTTGTTTTAGAATCCCATCTCTGTATTATCTCTGCAGCCTCTAGACCAAACTTTGTGTGTGTGCGCGCGCGCGTGTGTGTGTGTGTGTGTGTGTGTGTGTGTGTGTGTGACACCTGAAGATGCACAGGCATTACTTCTGGCTCATTCACTAAGGGATTACTCCTGGTGGTTTTCGGAAGACCATATGGGATGCTGGGAATCGAAGAGGGTGGGTCACGTGCAAGGCAAATGCTCTATCCATTATTCTATCACTCCAGCCCCCCAAGACCAAACATTTTTAATGCACAGTTTTAATGATTAAAAACTAAGCCAAGAATTTTATCGCTAAAGATCAACAATTATTTAAAGAAAATTATGAGAATGCCCGGACTAGCTAAAATCATGAAGAACAGAGTTTGTTTGTAACTTTTGGTTTTAATTTTCCAATATAATCTACTTAATTTTGTTTCATATCTCTTTAATGTTTGTAAGAAAGGATGTAATACATGACTTATGCATTGATATTGGGCAGGTCACAAAATGAGATTTGGAGATGACCACTGGACTAGAGCCATTACCGACTGGATTTCATGGGAGGTCAAAAGAACACCTGGTCATTCCAAGGGATGTCAAAAGAATACCTGGATGCCCAGCTAAAAGATGGTCAGACTTCTTTGTCAAGGACCTAAACAAACAATTTGGTGCTCTTTGTGTTCCTGCAGCGAGCAGACGCCATTGGGCTACACTAGCACGCGACAGACACGAATGGAGACGTTACTGGCGCCTGCTTGGGCAACTCGATGAGCAATGGGATGACAAGTGATAGAAGTGATTAATATTTTCAAGCAAGTAAACCAAAGTTTTAGAAGATAGTAAGTCCAGGAACATAATCCATCCAATTAACAAAAATGGCCATACTTACAATTATATAAATTATTTGGCCACTTAATAAAATTTCTTTTAATACTTCTAGAAAAATTTCAAGTATAAAAATAATTCCACAAAAATGTGTGAAAAGTTAAACTACAGAAGTTTATTTTGAAAAATTTTGAAGGTATTTTATAATTTTTTCTGAAGATTATTTTAGCATAATATATGTGTGTGTGTGTGTTTGTGTGCACGCGCGCATGTGTGTGAGTGTGTGATTATGTTTCCAAAATTAAAGAAAAGGAATTTTTAGTTGATGCATGGGACATGTCTAAAAGTAATTAAGAAATGTAAAATAAAAATTTGAAGAACAAGCGTATATTCAAAATGAAAACTTATCAGTGAGATGAGAGTTAGCAGTTCTTGAACTAATTGTTTCCACAGGAGAGAGTTCTTCCTGAGAAACATTTGTTTAGAGAATCATCAGTATGATAAACCTGGATACCTCCATTGATTCATCTTTGCTAAAATACTTTACCCAAGCATTTATATATTCACTTTTCAGATGTGTTCCACATTGGCTACTCCATCTGCATTCTAAAATCTTCTTGAACATCTTTTAAGAGTAACTATATGGATATAGTATTTACATTAATTGAAATAATAGTTTTTAAATATACCATGATGTTAATTAAATGTATCAATTAATACTCCTTTAAATCCTTTGAGAACACAATTTCATCAAAATCTGTGAATGACCACTACTTTAACATTTGAATGATAAAAGTAACATGAAAGCCAATAAACTTAACAAACAAAAACAATAATACAGAAGGATCAAATAGCAATGGACAGTTCAGTAAATCCTCAGATAAAGGCTTAACAACACCATGTTGAAATATAGCAGCTTTCCTAGTAGCACAGCGGGTAGGGCGTTCGCCTTACACGCGGCCAACATGGCCGACCCGAGTTTGATTCCTCCGCCCCTCTCGGAGAGCCCGGCAAGCTACCGAGAGTATTGGATATGCCAGACACAGTAACAACAAAGTCTCCAATGGAGACGTTACTGGGCCCGCTCGAGCAAATCGACGATCAACGGGAGGGCCTTTACCTTTTTTACCTTTCCTAGTATATTGCCGTAGTCAACTCAAAGTAGAATACTGTGCTGTTGTTTCCCAAAAAAGTTTTTACACCTTTCCTTGAGCATAACAACCGATACTTCCACAATCTCTCTAAACTCATCTCTCGCTATTGCTCGCTAGATAAGAAAACTATGTAATTCAGTTTATAAGGGCATTTCTCTGCTCTGATCAAAGCAGAACAAACTCAGCAGTCTTTTCCTTTAACTTGCAACAGTGTTTGTAATATTCATCTGTGACTAGTTTACAGTTGTCAAGAATATTATGACAAGCTGGGAATCTTTTCCTTTAGGAAAATCTACTTAGTGTCATATTAAATTCTATGATCATCTGAAGTTTGACAGCTTCTCTATAGCTAAAACCACAGATAATTCTAGCTTTTATTTTCATGCCTAATGAACTTCTCTGGCATCCTGGCACATAATTTTAAAAGTACATATTTTCCCCGCTTTGGTTATCCAATCTTAAGGTATCGTGTTCTTTTGTCTTTGCTCGTTTTCTCTAGAACAATAGTGCAGATGGCAAACAATAGACAGAGAAGTTAAGATTGGATATAGGGACCTCAATGATCTTGGTCTTCCACTCCACCTTCTTTCATCATTGTAGCTATGTAGTGAGTCACAGTACCCCTGTCACATGCATACACAAGCCAGCACTTTCTACCATGTCTATTTATACAGGACCTTCTATTCTATATATTTTTATTCTTTTCCATCTACCTGTAGATCTGTCTTTGACCTCTAAGTTCTATTTCATTTGTGTGAGAGTCTTAATTCCAGTACCATGCTGTCTTGATTACTATAGCCTTATAGTGTAATTTAAACTTTAGAAAAAAAAAGTCTCCCATATTCTTTCTCCCTAGGATTGCTTTGTTATTGTGGGCTTTCTATCACTACACATAACTTTCAACAGTATTTGCCTATTTCTTTAAATAATATCTTGTGTATTTTTATAGGGACTGTATTCAGTCTGTATAGTCCTTAGGTCAAAGAGTAATTTTGACAACATTAATCCTTTAATACATAAAAAAGGGATGTGTTTCCATTTCTTTATGTCTTCTTTTATTTATTTTGGTAGTAATTTATAGTTTTCTTTATATAAGTTTTTTCACTTCCTTTGTTAAGTTGATTTCCAGGTAAGTTTTTGAGGCACAATTGCAAAAGAGATGGTTTATTCATTTCTTTCTCTCTCTCTCTCTCTCTCTCTCTCTCTCTCTCTCTCTCCTATTTCATTGTTTGCATGTCAGATTAGAAAAGATTTCTGTCTTGATTTTGTAGCCTGCCTTGACAAGTAATCATTATTTCTAGGAGATTTTTTGTGGCATCTTTTTGATTTTCTAACTATAGTATCATAGCACTGCAGCACTGTCCTCCCATTGTTCACTGATTTGCTCAAGCGGACCCAGGAACGTCTCTGTTGTGAGACTTGTTGTTACTGTGTTTGGCATATGGAATAAGTCATGGTAGCTTGCCAGGCTTTGCTGTGCGGGAGAGATACTTTCAGTAGCTTGCCGAGCTCTCCGAGAGGGGCAGAGGAATCAAACTCAGGTGGGCCAAGTTGGCCGTGTGCAAGGCAAATGCCCGATCACTGTGCTATCGCTCCAGCCCTGTAGTATCATATCATCTGCAAATAGTGAGAATTTGACCTCTTTTATAATCTGAACAATGCCTCTTTGTGGCCTAATTTCTATGGGAAGAAATTTCAATCCTATACTGAGTGATAGTGGTGAAAGTGGGCAATCTTTCCTGTGCATGATCTTAGACAAAAGGTTTTCAGTTTTTCATTATTGAGTATAATGTTACCTATGTGTCCATGGCAGAACTCTTTAACTATATTGAGGAAATTTCCTTCGATCTTCATTTTATTGATTTTTAAAAATCATGAATAAGCATTGGAACTTCTCAGAAGCTTTCTCTGTACATATTGATATGACCATATCATTTTTATTCTTCCTTGTATTGATATGGTGCATTGCATTGATTTACTTGTTTATATTAAACCATCGTTGTACCTCTGAGAGATAATTCTGCT